TTGTTTACAAAATATTGAAGAATATAATATTAAATTGAATCTATCAGATCCACTGATCCATCTACATTTATATATTTTTTATTTTTTGTTTATAAATATTGTTTTTTATTATTAATCAGATGTAGATTGAATCTGATTACATAAACACTTTATTCAAATATATGATAATTAGATCAAGTTTTGAAGTTTCAAGTATTATTAATAAGTTTATGTACTTAGCTAGACTATTCTTTTTGTAATGTTTTTATTTTTTTGGCCTATCTTTTTTGTTCATTTATCAAAAGAAAATGTAAGATTTAAGTAGAGGGAATTGAGTGAGGTGAAAAGTAGTAGCTCCACAATCTTATTCATATTTTTAATCATAGTGTAAATATAGAATTATAGATGTGTTCAAGTTTTTCTATAATTCTTTTTTGTATTTCTATATGTAAAAATAATTTTAATATGTCACACTTACTTTTTGTTTAATATGATATTATACATGTGCCTGAATGTTTTTTGCAAAACTTATGTATTTTTTTATATTTTTATATTTTATTAATTTTTATTATTTATTTATGACATTAAAGGTTAACAAATTTGACCCAAAAGTTGAACTATTGATCTTTGCCAACCAATAAAATAATTTCATTTTTTATCAGTTATAAATTATATATTTCATTTTCACTATTAATAAAAGTAATTCTTTTTTATTACACATATTTTTTTAGTTTGATTAAAAATTATCATAAATGTGTATAATTTTTTCTACATTTTTGTAATTTTCTATATTTATTTCTATTTTAAAAATCTTATTACCTAACTATGATTTCATAGGTTGATCAATTTGATTCAGATGGTTGAATTGCTTAGCCACCACTTGGTTAAAGAACAGTTTTGTTTTTGAGTCAGTTTTTAAAACATATAAGTTTATATTGTTAAAAATATTGACGTAGATCTAATTAATAGCATTTATTAGTAAAAAAAACTTAAATGTAAGATTTAATAAGAGAAAATGAGAGTTAATATCTTAAGTATAAGACTTAATGAGATGGGAATTAATAATTGAAGTTATATTTTCATTCCTTACTGTTAGAGATGGACTAAATACACAAATGTAGACATTTTAATAGTCATAAAAATAGCACTAAAGTTATAATAAAATAGCTTTCATACCCTTTCTCAAACAAAGAAATAGAATATCATTTTAATCCAAAAAAACTTTCACTTTGTATTTGCACTTTTATATATATAATATATATAACTGAATGGCCGCATCCTTAAGGGATGGAATCCTTTGACCAACCACAACCCATTGAATTTTGAATTTTGATGAAAATTCATGTAATTGGTTAATACTTTTATGATGTTGGATGGTTGATTGGTAGAGTACCTTGGACCATGTGTTATTCATCCATTGAGGTTAGCTCTCATTTTCAGAATTTAAAAAATGCAAGAAAACATGCACCCCCACTCAGCCATGTTTCCATGGAGACGGAGATGGGAATCTTAGATCTGCTCCTCACATTAACCTTAGAGGACATTGCAGTCGTCCATATGGAAGATATTCCCGATGTGCGGCTCCCACGTGCTATGAAGTTGGTGTGAACTGTGACAGATCGCTCTGAGGTTGGTGTCTATTGACCGAGGCCGGAACACCTTTGCCGTAAACAGCCACGTGGATTCGCAAATCGGCCCTCGTGTTACCTGTATTCTACTGCAGTTATTCTGCCCGATACCAACTCCCGAGTCCCGAGGAATTGGCGTGGAAGTAGGTGTAGTGGGTCCCACTCACCAACCCACCAGTTTTTTTTTTAGGTTATTATTTTTCTTTTTCTGCCTGCCAACCTCCCAGTCCCCGCCAATCTAGTGGTGGATGTGAAGTCCTCCTACTCCCATTCCCTCTCTTTCAATTGGTGGTTTGGTGGGCCCTACTCTCATTTTCTGTTCACCAAATCCTTTGACAACCGCGCAACCGTCAAGATCCCACAGTACATGACGTGCGCCTTTTTACATTCTTTATTTATTTAAAAGAATTAGAACGGAATCTGCTCCTCACACATGGGCGCCTCACAGGCACATCCACCGTGCATTGGGAACATCTTCCGAGCATTGGGAACATCCACTGTGTGAAGAGCAGATCCGGTCTCGTTATGTTCTCGTATCTACGCTCCCATTTTAACGCCTCTGATCTTTTTATTCGTAAAACTTGCCAACCTGTCAATTGTTTCAGTGATCAGACCATCTTTTTTAGCCATCTGATATGGACATTTTTGATATAATCTCTCTTCAATCTTAAGCTGATTTGGTGGATTCTGATGCTCTAAACATGGGACAAATGGCAAGTTAAAGCTTACAGGTCCGAGCAGGTGTTGAAATTCTCATCTTGCCAGCTGGCAACATTGGATGTGCCATGTAATGTTTGTAGCGCACATGTGTTGAACTGTTGGCAACCTCAGCTTGCCAGTTCATTTAACAGAAAATCATGGCCGTAGATGTACTGTAATGGCCCCACCAAGAAATCACTTAATCTAGTTAAAGGTGGGGCTATGGAAATAAATCGCTTTCTTTCAATTGTTTTGGCTGTGTTTGTTTGCAATACAAATGCTGAACCGGGATTAGGGCTCTTCATAAGAATGCCCAACCCGACCAAACCGACCAATCCGGACCGACCCAACCCGAGTCGGTCGGGTTTTCAATCTGTACCGGTCGGTTTCGGGTTGGGCACATATATAAATCGAAATATCGGGTCGGTTTTGATTTTCACGTAAGAAAACCGAAACCAACTCGACCTAAACCGAACTAGTATTCTACTAGTTTGGTAATTCCTACTTCCTAGTTTGAGTAGTTTCCTAATTCCTACTAGTCTTCTACTAGAACTAGAACTCTAGAAGGCCCATTAGGCAATTACAATTAGAATTCAATTAGGTGTCCTTTTTTAGTTTTTTTACCTAGATTAGAATTTAGAAGGTTTCTAATTTTTTATTTTATTGACCACTTTTGTCTTCTCTTAAAATCTTCTATTCTCAACTAATTCAGATTTTATTTGGCTTTGTACAGGAGCAAAACCGACTAAACCGACCCAAATCGACCCAACCCGATTCAAACCGACCAGGTCGTTTTGGCCTGTCAGTGGGTCGGCTTCGGTTCCCACCTTAGCTAACCCGACCAGGTCGGGTCGGTTGGGAAAATCCCAATAAACTGACCCAACCCGACTTGTGAACACCCCTAATCGGGATAATGATTAAGGGGATGTTAGGAACTATAGCCGTTTTTCAAAAAAAAAAAAAACGGTACTACGTTGGATCCATATAAGCATTTCAACAAATGTCCATGTATCTCATTGTTTGGTTCAGTCGAGTATTAAAAAATCAGGCATGTCTCGAAAATTAGGACCCCACTGATGCATGAAACACTTGCATCGGTGGACCATTTCCCCCAACGGTTGACTGATGTGTATCCTATGTGATGCTTACCTGTCAGCACATACATGAAAAACGGTAATGAAAATCACCTTATCAAACAAAGTGTTACTCATTGCCTATGTGGCAGAAGTGTTTTTTTTTTTTTTGTGTGTGAAAATGGGTTTTAAAAGCACGGACGTTTTTTCTTGAAAATCGGTCCCAAAAAGCGCCCACGCTTCCAAACACTATGTAAGATGTTAAAAATGTTTTCTTTTTTGTCATTTTTGTATCGTGAAAATACATGTTATTATACCTATTTTTTAGATATAAATTTGTGCTATTCTGATAATTGATATATTTGACAAAAAACTTAAAGCATTAAATGATGGAATCGACGTTTTGCACCGATTTCAAATAAATAGAAAAATACAAAAAACGACTTACACTTTGCATCTTGAACTGGAAAAAAAATATTTATGCAATGTATATATTTGTGTTTGCATTGCAATTAAACGCAACTAAAAAACATTGGATATGCCACATGAATTGGAGTTCACATTTTCACTTCACAGCACATCCCTGCTGTGTATTGAGAACATCTCCGATGATGACATCTTCGGAAAATGTTCATTTTATGTCGGGACTAATATTATCATCAAGAGATATTCCCAATACATGGCAATAATGTACTGTGAGGCATTGTGGGGCGGCTACCGGATCTGCTCCTCACACTTAGCGTCTCACACGAATATCCAATCATACTTGAAAACATCTCCCGTACTTATTAATTATTGTTCACGGTAAATGTTCCCAATGCAAGGTGAATATGCCTATGAGGCGCCCATTTGTGAGGAACAGATCCCGTCACCCTTGTACGAGGGTGATGTCATCTCCATGAATTGCAGTTTGTAACCCACGTAAAATGAAATAATTTCTTTTGGACTGCGATACTAGACGAGGAGCAAGTCGGGGAGTCAAGGAACATTGAATATGACACGGTCAGTTTAATGTATAAAGCCCACGTGTAGGATTGGGATATGCTCTTTACACAGAGCGCCTCACTCCGACCTCATATACACATTACCGTGAGATCTGTTCCTGACAAATGGGCGCTAAGGTACATTCACCGTGCATTGAGAACATCTCTCGTGAATAAGAACAAATAAATACGGCAATGTATTATAGGATGTATGTGTGAGGCGTCTGTAAGACGCCAGGTGTGAGGCGTCTGTAAGACGCCAGGTGTGAGGAGCAGATCTGATCTCCCACGCGTATGGAGCAGTCGACAACCTCAGCTTGCCATCTGGAGAAAATTTGAACTAGTTTATGAGAAACCGGATTTGCCCTTCCCACCGACCTCACAAAGCTTTCAGCTGGATAGTGGGATCCCGTACATATATTTTATCATTGGGAGATGTCCCCAATTAACGGCTGAGATGTGGTGTAAGGAACGCTCTGTGAGGTCATTGCGATACTGGACGAGGAAAAAGCCGAGGAGCCGAGGAACCAGTTACACTTACCAGTTACCACCAACCAAAATACTGTTTCTCTCTCCATTTTAACCCAAATGACCAAATTTATTTACATATATATCCGACGCCAGAGCATTTGCTTTTGCGATTTGATTCTCCATTTCCACGTTTTGTCGGTGTTGTGCTGCTCTGGTTCTGCTTATCTACTGCTGCATCTGTGCTCCAGAGAGAGAGAGAGAGGAGAGACAGAGTGAGAATGAAGGTGATAGAGAAGATCCGGGACAGTACCTTGGACGGCCGGGTGGTGTTCTCGTTCGAGTTCTTCCCGCCTAAGACTGAGGATGGAGTCGACAACCTGTTCGAGCGGATGGATCGGATGGTGTCTCACAACCCATCCTTCTGCGACATCACTTGGGGCGCTGGTGGCTCTACCGCCGATCTCACCCTTGAGATCGCCAACAAGATGCAGAACATAGTCTGCGTCGAGTCCATGATGCATCTCACCTGCACCAACATGCCTGTCGAGAAGATCAATCACGCTCTTGACACCATCAAATCTAATGGGATTCAGAACGTTCTTGCTCTCCGTGGCGATCCTCCTCATGGCCAGGACAAGTTCGTCCAGATCCAGGGCGGTTTTGCTTGTGCTCTCGACCTGGTAATTCAAATTAAATTCGTTCAGTTATAACTGCCACCGGATCCTGAAAATTCAACATTTTTTTCAGTAATGTACTGTTTTCTTTTACAGGTGAAACACATCCGAGAGAAGTATGGAGATTACTTTGGAATTACTGTTGCTGGTTATCCAGGTCTGATGCTTTGAATTGTTATAATTTGTGAATCTTCATCATAATCTCCAAAATCAGATGCTGTTTCAATGTTTTCTGCTCTCAAGATCTGAAAATGTCTTCTTGTTTTGTGAAAATTATCTCTTTAGAGGCACATCCGGATGTTATCTCAGAGAATGGAGTGGCCACTTTGGAAGCATACCAGAATGATCTTGCTTACTTGAAAAGGAAAGTAGGTTAAATCTCACTGCCACTATCACCACTGTCTCCTGATTAATTCGATATCCATTGGCTTTCCTTGATATTTACTCTGATTTTCCTTCAATTTAGCTAGGAAGGTGCTGTAATGGCTGCAATTAAATGCCAATACAAGATTCATATTATTTTCACATTTCTCAAGGTTAAACCATTTCACTTCTTAATAACGGCTAAGTCGATATGTTTTCAGCATGGGTATTGAATGAAGAACTGAGAAGTTTGGCTGTAGTTCTTTCTGATTTGCCCAAGTTATGCTAAGTACTTGGTGTAACTTGTTGCAATCAAATGAAAATCTACCTACCTATCTAAAGTACACCATGGGGGTGGTTTCTGTTGCCTTTATCTTATGTCAGGAATATGCTCTTGCCTCTTATTATGGATAAGGGTAAACCTTTTCTTAAGGCTCAGTTTGGGAAGAGTACAAAAACAAATATATACAGTGCAAATATAGGTTTAGAAATACAAAATACAAAGCTTTGCACTGTGCATATTTATATTTGTACTCTTTCCAAACTGAGCCTTAAGGAGTAGACTTACCAACAGAAAGTGGAAAATGCATAAAATATGTTGGAAATTTCCAAGGATGAGAACATTAAATACCTTCATTAGCTGTGTAATAATCACATTATAGTTCTGATTTTGGATTTCTATTCTGCAAATAGCTGTACTGCATCAACGATCCATTGCAACTTTACCCTTTACCATCTTCTATATATTCACTTCGTTTATCTTTTGCAAAGGCTATATCAAGTGGACTGTTCACAAATTTTAGTTTCTAAATTCTAGTGGAAAGTTAAGAACCTCAGAACATTCTGAATGTTTTCTAGGGTAATTATTAGATAAAGTGGTTTTTGGAAGGTTAAAAACCTTCATTTAGATAGATGGATTTGTTCTTTCATTATCCATACTGCCAAATAAGATATTCTATTTTCAAACGAATCAAATCCCAACTGCATGCTACATAAAAGCCCCATATTCATGGGTTCAAGAGAACTGTTTTTCCATCTGATTGCCGCAGTTTTTCTTTTTTGTTATTTTCTGTTTTGATTTTCTTTTACCTTTTTTTTTTGACAAATTCTTCAAGTTATTACATTATACTTTATTGATAAAAAAGTTGTTACCTTATACTATTCCATTTGTTGTGCAAGGTCTAATCTGACGAATATTTGATAGTTTTAAGTGTTCTCCTTTCTGCTGCATATTTTGTTTGTCCCCATATTCATGGTGATTTTTCTTTTGTAGGTTGATACTGGGGCAGATCTTATTATCACTCAATTATTCTATGACACTGATATTTTCCTGAAGTTTGTGAATGACTGCCGGCAAATTGGAATAAAATGTCCTATTGTTCCAGGCATTATGCCAATCAATAATTATAAGGGTTTCTTGCGCATGACTGGTTTTTGCAAAACGAAGGTATGCTATCTGCTGCTAACCAGTATTCTGTAGGCGAGATTCAGGCAGAGATTAAATATAGTACTGAGAAAATGAAAGAATATGTATGTCCTATATTTGACTTTTGTGCTTATATAGGCATATCCTTTTTATTACCAACCAAAATTTAAATGTCCTGTTTGTTACTTTGTTTTTTATATACCAAATGAATAATAAAAAAAAAAAAGAATGCTTTATTGCCTAGGCACTTGCCTTGACAACTATGATTTAATGCAATATTTTCATTGTAATTGATTAAAGAAAAAATTGAAATAGATCTCATTCCCCATCTTAGTGGCCTTTTAGGTGGTGCTTTTCTTTGTTTTAATATGTAATATTTATATCTAATATCATTTTGCAGATACCTTCTGAAATTACTGCTGCCTTGGAGCCTATTAAGGACAATGATGAAGCTGTTAGATCCTATGGAATTCATCTTGGAACTGAAATGTGCAAGAAGATTTTAGCTCATGGGATAAACACATTGCACCTTTACACACTAAACATGGAGAAATCAGCATTGGCTATTTTAAAGGTTATCTAACGTTTCTCATTATGCTTGAACATGCATAATATTTTCTTATGCTTTCATGTTATATTTGACTTGGATCCTTATTAATTTTTTTTGGCAGAACCTAGGATTGATTGATGATAACAAAATTTCAAGATCCTTACCTTGGAGACGCCCTACAAATATACACCGCGTCAAAGAAGATGTTCGCCCAATTTTCTGGTATTTTCTGTCTTCAATAATCTGGGATTGGTGAGATGCATGTAGTTGATTGAACCCTATTGGGTGTTAGGTTGATTACTTGAATAGTGTTTGATGTTCCCTTGTGGATGATGACAGGGCTAATCGTCCAAAAAGTTACATATCTAGGACAATTGGTTGGGAACAGTACCCACAAGGGCGATGGGGTGACTCTTGTAATGCATCATATGGAGCACTGACTGATTACCAGGTAGATGGGATTTTCCTTGTTTTTCTCATTTCTATTTGTAATCCATGCTTTATAATTTGCATAGCATTGGACCAAGGCCTTTGGGCTGGTCCCATTCAAATTTTATCAAATCATCAACCTCAACCTCATCATCACCATCCATGCCTTATCCCAATTATATATGGGCTCAGCTACATGAATCCTGTTTTGCCAATTCGTCCTATTGAAAGCCATGTCCACAGTCCACTGTTAAATTATTAGTAGTTAAATCATTTCTTACTACTACCCTCTAGCCCCTTCAACTTGTACCAAATCACCATAGCTTTCAAGGTGGCAAGGTGAGGCTAGGCGACCATGGGGTGCCTGGGTGCCTAGGCCTTGCCTAGGCGAAGAAGGGGGCGTAGCCCCTAAAGAACTGAAGGGGGCGTAGCCCCTAAAGAACCTACGAAGAAGGGGGGGGGAGAGCCCCCATGTTATACCAAGAAAAGCTAGGGAACAAATACTAAAATAAAAGAAGAAAATGAAGAAGAAAAGAAGGGGATAGAGCCCTGTTTCAGACACCAATGATAAGGAAAAAAAAGGTAAAACAATGCAAGAAATTTAAGAACAAAAGAAGGGGGTGGAGCTCCTGTTTCGGTCCAATAAAATGACCCAAAAGGCTTGGGGAAAAGATTAAAAAAAAAAAAAAAGAAGAGGAAAAAAATGAAGTGTAGGTGTAGCTACTGTTTTAAACCAACAAAAAAAGGAAACAAAGCATAAAGCAAAGGATTGTGCGGGGAACAGTGGAGGATTCTTGCTCTTTCCTCTCTTTCCTCTTCCTTTGTTTAGTTCTCTTGTCAAAGTGAAACCCCCAAAGACAACGCTTGTTTTTACTTTCCTCACAACAAAAAACATGATGACATGCAACAGGTTCTATTATAAAAACTAAAAAAAAACCAATAAACTATTGTATATTTCATATTTGTTTTTATTCAATAAATATTGTATATTTTATATTTTGTTTCTAGGCGCCCACCTAGTCGCCCAGGTATGTGCCTAACACTATTTTTTCCTAGCGTTTGGGCGAGGCGCTCCTTGTAAAGCCCCTAAGTGTCTAGGCGACACCTTGAAAACTCTGCAAACCACTTCTAATTGTTACTGTTGGTGGTCTTCTATGCATGTGACCATACCATTCTTAGTCTACTTCCTCTAATTTTATCACCTATTGGGGCTACTCCTAGGTTCCTGCGGGGGACTTCATTCCTGATCCTATCCTTTTGTAGATTTTCTGTTCATCCATCTTAACATTTACATCTCTGCTACACTCATTTTTTGGACATGTTATTTCTTGACCACCCAACACTCTACTCTATATGACATTCCTGATGCTATCCTTTCTAGATTTTCTGTTCATCCATCTTAACATTTACATCTCTGCTACACTCATTTTTTGGACATGTTATTTCTTGACCACCCAACACTCTACTCTATATGACATAGCTGGCATCAAATCCTCATCCTGAGCCCCAAATTGCACCCTACCTGTAAATATAATCTGACATGTTACTGGCCTGCTATTTTCCTTTCTTCCTTAATTCCAATGCTATATTCACTTTTTTCCTTTCCAAGTCATTTACTCTTGTGTTACAGACTTACTGTATATGAAAGCACTTCTGCTATTCTCTTATATATCTCCCTAGGTACCTTTATCATCTAAGAATAGGATTTGGCACTAATGTTTGGATTTATCTGTATTTTTTAACTGTTATCTCATATCTTGTTTTTAGTATTTGACAACTTAGGTTTTCTTTTTTGTTCTTATAGAGTTCTCTATTTTTATGCAATAACTCAGGTCTAATATGTGGAGATTCTGGTCCTTTCTGTATATCGATGGTCATTAGTGGAGGGGGGGGGTTAGGATTTTGAAGTAGTTAGGGTTGATATTGGGCTGGAGCTAAGCCTGGGTGAAAAGAGTGAAGGAAACTTGAGAGAGGAATAATAGATAGCACAAGAGGTACTGAGGTAGAAGTAGATGAGGATGATGCTATTTGTAATGGTTGTAATCAGGGTGGATTCATATATTGGTGATTGTTTATATGTCATGGCTGTTAGTTATTCTGCTCCATTTGGTTTTGTCGGGGTTGTTGACACATTGTTTGGTTGGCTTGTGATAAATTATCGTGGCCTGATAAGTTTATGCATTGTTAGCAAGATTTTTTTACTCTCCTTTTTAGTGCATTTTTCTCCATGAGCATTTCCAGGATATAAAGATTTTAACAAATCAATCTAAAATGAATTTGAAAAGTTGGGTGTGTAATTACTGAAAATGATACCAAAAGCATGGTATTAGCATATGAAAATTGAATGGGTTACTTATTGAATTTATATCCATTATCTAGATCCCAGAAACAAAGATCTCAAGTCACCGTTTTCTTTGTTCATTCTCATGCCCAGTCCAATTCTGGGTATCTTAACCTTTGGCTCCATTTTTACCAATGGTCCACCTTGAGCAAGCAAACAACTAGCCTGCCTATGCCTTGATGTTGATGGATGAACTTTTTTAGCACCTGCAACCAAAGCCACCTCTCAAGCCTCATTCTTCTAGGACCAGCCATGTGGAGTTATTTGTGCTTGTCTCCATGGGGTCAAACGTCCTTAAGGCATCCATGCCAGCATTCCCTATTTATAAACAGTGATAAAGATATTCTTGATAACAAGTTTACCAGAATATGCTCTATGTAAAGACTGAAAATTGTTATTGATTATTGGAGAGCTGTCATCACTGCCATCACCATTTTGTGAGAGCTTGTAAAATCTAAGAAGCATGTAGGGCATTTTATTTTTTGCAGTGCCACTTATATCCCCTCCATCTCCATCACACATGCTTTAAAAAAATAGTATTCATAAAAAGATAATAAAATTTATGTTTAACTTTTATAAGTACATAAATTAGTCATCTAATGCATATACCTATCTAATAAGGTCTATTCACTTAGCCACCATTAGTATACTAACTAAACACAGATTTTACATGTCAGTTGAGGTATGAATTGCCTAGGAAGCCAACTTAATGGTCTATTGGCATATTACTCAAGCTTGGTTATAGATGTCCCTCCATTCAAGTTTCTCCTTAGCTGACTTAGTTATAAATTGGAGTGCTATAGCTGTATCCTCTCCTTCCTCCCCTGTGGTACAAGAAAGTTGGGTACCACCGCCTCAGCTCAGGGTGAAGCTAAACTTTGATGGAAGCTCTTTGGGTAATCCAGGTCAGTTGGGAGTTGGGGGTGTGTTCAGAAATGAGGGTGGAAAAGTCTTGGCCCTTTACCTAGGCCCAATTGGAGTGGGAGATTCATTAAGGGCAGAAGTAATGGCCTTACTTCAAGGTTTGAGACTAGCGAAACAATGGGGAATGCAGCAATTAGAAGTGGAAGGAGACTCCAAGCTGGTAATAGGGTGGATGCAATCTGGAAACTTGGGAGTTTGGTCTCTTAGATGGCCTCTAAGAGAGATTATTAGCTTAGCAAGGGAGAGTGGGGTGCACTTTAAATGGGTAAGAAGGTCACCAAATGGAATGGCTGATACTTTAGCTAAGCAAGGAGTTACTAGGGAGGCTTTGTTTTGGGCTTGTTTGTAAGTTTTTGTTTTTTTCCATCCATTTTGTGGGTGGTAAGTCTCTAATCCTTTCAATTCTCTAATGAAAGTTAACATTTCCTATAAAAAGAAAATAATAATAATGATACTTCTTTTCTTTTTTATGTACATGATATTATTAATATCCTACAATACAGAACTGGAAATATTATTTGTTAGAGGGTTTCACTTGTTTAGTAGCATATAACCCTTTTTGAACTTTTGTAACAGTTTATGCGGCCACGTTCACGTGATAAAAAGCTTCAGGAGGAATGGGGTGTCCCATTGAGATCTATTGAAGATATACATGAGGTACACCGTTTATCTTCCAATTTATCTTGGTCTTTTGTATTTAAATGATACTTGGTTATGTATAACTTTACATGGGATCAATGCTTTTCTTGTATTGTGTCACCAGAGGTTCATGAACTACTGCCTGGGCAAACTTAAAAGCAATCCATGGTCTGAGCTAGATGGGCTTCAGCCAGAGACAAAGATCATAAATGAACAGTTGGGAAATATCAACTTGAAGGGTTTCCTTACCATCAATAGCCAACCAGCAGTAAATGGCGAGAAGTCTGACTCTCCAGTTGTTGGTAAGTAAATATAATTTGTATATTATTTGTACAACATGTTTGTTTTTCCTGAAATTAGGGGTTATTGCTTGGTAGACGGTAAGATTTGGGCTGACAAGCGTGAAAAAGCAGGCTCAAGCCTGGGAATGGCCACCTTATGCTAAAATGCAGGAGGTTAGGTTCATATCCAGTCAGTGATAGAAAGGCGTGCCTAGGCTCAGAAGTAAGGCACATTTCAAGGCTTGTGCCTTGCTTAGGCCCAGGCACTGCCACTTTACAAAAGTGTGTGCCTGGTGTGCCTTATGCCTCATCCCAGCAGTGGTGGAGCCAGGAATTTTCTCTTTTGGGGGTGGGGGTGGGGTATGTTATTAGGGATGGCAATTTTCCTCATCCCCGCTTTAACCCGACGTTGAAGGTAGCATATATATGTCCTTAAATATATTTTATATTCAATTCAACTCAAATAGATGTTAACCAAGTGCTAAACCAATTTAGATTAATGTTTTTCCTTTCTTTTAAGTAAATCTCTTCCCAGTCTTTTTTTAATTAAAGGAGTTCAGGGATTCGGGTCCCCGATGGGGAACCTGTCTCCATCGGGGATCGGTTTGGAGGTTCATTTTTCTCCCTAATAGGGATTGAGTATGGGGATGGGGAATTACATACTTAGAAACTGGGAATGGGTATGGGGAGTGTGGTTCCCGCCCCAAATCCATCCCCATTTCTATTCCTACAAGTCATTTAACTTTTTTTGGCTTAAATGGAAAAGTTATAATAAGTCTACATTCACGATAGAAAGCTTGGAAAATAGAGAATATCCAAGATAATAGATTTTTTTTTGTTAAAATTTATATATATTTAATTAATATTATTTTAATATTTTTCATTTTTTTGAAAATTTTGAAGTTTTTTTTTTTTTTTTTTTGTGCCTTGCATCAAAGAGGCATGCATTAGGTGAGGGCGCCAAAAGCTCCTTGTGCTTTTAAAATATTGTAGCCAGTCCATCCTTCCCAAGATTCTGGATAGCAACCAGCATTGGGTAATGACATTTTTTATTTGTTTTTCCTGGAATTGTGTTCTTATGAGTTTGTTATGATATCATTATGTAAAGAAATGCAAATTGCAGATTCATTGTTCATCTATCATGTTAATTTGTCTCTATGAATCCAAATCTATGTCTAAGATGCATGTTATTGCTATGAAGTGTAAAGCCTACTCAAGAAACTCATATGCATAATAGAAAATATATTGCAAGTTGATGAGAAACGAAATGGAATTCCCAGTAATGTTAAAGAATTTTTAGGATAAGGGTTTCTTACCTTGTATTGGTTGTTTCCCTGAAAAGATTAGCCATTGAAAGTTTTAAATTTATAATATAAAACATGTCAAAAAAAGAAGCGCTTCCTCTTGACACGTGGCAACTGCTTTGAGGCTTTGCTTCATGAATAAAGGATAATAAGACATAAAGGCTAATAAAATCACTAAATGGCCCCCTACATGCAACCTGCTCCCTTGTCAGTGGTCTCTCGTCTCCCCAAATGAAAAATCCTGTTTCTACCTTCGGTTACACAATTTTCTTGAAATGCAATTAAGCTGGCTTCTATATTCGATAAGCAAGATGCTTTTATTGTCACTTATCACTTGTTAACTAGTTCTATGAGAATAAAATGATCATTTTAATTATTTTCTGTCAAAAGAGAACCAATAAAAAAAGTATTCCTGTGGAGAGTGAACAAAGAACATTTTATTGTGGTAATTGAAAGAACTTCAGGATCCAGAATTCTTTCTAGAAAATGATTACCAAGTGTAGGGTTGGATTCTTCCTTTTGGTGGTTTATGGTCTGCTTTAACCCACTTTAAAGTCTGAATTTCTTTACCTATTATGTTGGTAGGATGGGGTGGACCCGGTGGGTATGTATATCAGAAGGCCTATCTAGAGTTCTTCTGTTCTCGTAGAAAGTTGGAAACTCTGATTGAGAAATGCAGCAATTTCCCATCTTTAACCTACATGGCTGTGAACAAAGATACACAATGGATGTCTAACGTTGGCGCAAGTGATGTGAATGCGGTCACATGGGGAGTCTTCCCAGCAAAAGAGATCATCCAACCAACTGTAGTAGATGCAACAAGCTTTTTTGTCTGGAAGGACGAGGCCTTTGAAATCTGGTCCAGGGTATGGGCATCCTTGTACCCTGAGGGTGACCCATCAAGGAAACTGCTAGAGGAGGTATTATCTGTGTGCTGTCTTTCGATACATTTGAGGCTCGGTTTGGAAGGAGTACAAATACAAATATGTACAGTGCAAATACATACAAAATAATAGAAAATACAAGGTTTTGCACTCTACATATTTGCATTTGTACTCCATCCAAACTGAGCTTCCAAGGATTATTGGATTTGGACCAACGTATGGCTGTGTCTTTTTGCAGGTGCAAAGTGGTCACTTCTTGGTCAGCTTGGTGGATAATGACTATGTCAATGGAGATCTGTTTGCTGTTTTCAGTGATATCTGAGATTACGTGCTATCTATCGATTCTTTCAGTTGTAGCAGGGCCCGCCTAGGAAGTTAATTGATTGCAACTAGTATTACACGCTATGTAGGTTTGTTGTTTGTGTTGCATTATTCAATAACACGTGACATTTGAAATATTAATTATTGTCTCCTCCAAGTGCACATTGCATTCAGGGGCAAAGCTTAAGGTTTTATCTTTTAAACAATTTTATATCTAGTAGTATGTTCATTTACATGTTCTTTTTCTTTCTTTCTTTTTTTTTTTTTTTCTTTTGGCTTGTTGGTTTTTTTAAAAGGTCATTTACGTGGGTTATGAATTCACTCATCCATGTTCTTTTGATTATTAGATAAATTTTATAATGACTTTTTTATTCATAAAAAACCAATGTTAGAATGGACAAATTTGTCTCATTATGTTTTGTAAATTTTTCCCATTTAGATGAAAAATTTATTTATCCACATTGGAAATTGATTATTTAGGAAAATTAATTTTACCTTAGGGTCTAGAGTCCAGGCCTAACCACATTAGATTTTTGGAATGATATGAGGTTCTGAGTTGCAGCTGCACTATGTATGTTTGGGATCTTTGGATGCAAATGTTGTGTTTGTGTTGTATCAAACACCACAAAATCATGAAAAGAAAATAGAAGAATGCATTACAGACCATATGTATCTGTATCCGGGAAACAAAATTTTGAAATTTTTGGCCAAGGTCAAAGATTATGTGAGCATGTGATTTGTGTGGGTGTGTGCAAATAAAGATAAGACAAAATTAAAATGACAAAACTAATTCTACTAAACTTTTGAATCACACTCCAAACAAATTACGATAATCCCCCACATGATTCAAAAGTTTAATGCGATGATGAGATTATTGAGTTGAGATGCTAAAACAGAAATGCAATGATGTGTCTTTTGGACTATGAACCTACATTAGGGTATGCAGTTAGGATCTACAGAGATATGGTGGACTGAGCCTATGAACGAGTTCTCTTTATCGTAGATTTGCTGATTTTCTACCCATAGAATTGTCTTATAATTGTTGCATGTTCAACGAGGTGGCACTAAATTGGTCCTGTGTCATCCTGGTTTCATGAGCTTACTAAAAAACCGACCTAAGTTTTCATGGGAGGCAACCTCACCTCCAAGCTCACATAGGTGAATCCAAAATGTATAATACACGTATGAATTGCTTAATCACACAATAAGCAATCATGAAATTAGCAATGATTCATTAAGAATATGCAACTCAACTTAAAAGCAACAAGCACTTTAAAGTGAGATAGGGACAAATAATTTAATTGTGCTCAATAGGTCATCTCAATGGGTCGTCTGGTGACGTCATTTTTCCCATATGAATCTAGCTCATGGGATCTCCACTTGCATAGGTTAGGTTTCCATCGCTTATGACCTCTAAAATAGCCCTAAGTTCCATACCTCTAGAAGATTCAAACATAAGCTTCCTAAGAAGAGCTTTGGTCGGAGGATCTACTAGGTTCTTTTCTGATCATACAAAATCAAGGGATATTATCCCATTAGAAATTAATCTTTTGACTACATTATGTCTCAAACTAATGTGTTTGTTTTTACCATTATAGGTCATATTTTTTGCTCGACTAATAGCAGCCTAGCAATTACAATGTAGTGAGATAAAAGGGAATTGGTTTTTCATAAAGGAATATCAGCTAAGAGATTTCTTAGCCATTCGGCTTCAGTCCCAACCTTTTCTAAGGCTAGAAATTCAGATTCCATTGTGGACTTGATTGTGTAGGTTTGTTTAGATGAATTCCATGACATAACACCCCCACCAAGTGTAAAAATATAACCATTGGTAGAGTTGGATTTCACATCAGAGATCCAATTTGCATCATTATATCATTCCAGTAGTTAAGGATACCCACAATAAAACAAGCCATAATCCATAGTTCCTTTAAGATATTTTAGAAGTCTAACAATAGCATGCTAGTGATCATTATTAGGACAATGAGTATACCTACTTAATCTGCCAATCACATATGCAATATCAGGACGAGTGCAATTTTTCAAATACATCAAACTTCCAACAATTCTGGAGTATTCTACTTGAGACATAACATTCCTTTTGTTCTTACCTAAGTGAATACTTGGATCATAAGGAGTTTTAATTGGAGTACCATCAAACGGACCAAATCTTCTGAGTATTTTCTCAACATAATTTGATTGAGAAAACAAAATACCTTTATTGGTTTTATAAATTTTCATCCCTAAAATAACATCAGCTTCACCCAAATCTTTCATATCAAATTTGAACATTAAGAATTTTTTAGTATCTTTCACAACAAACAAGTCGGTTCCCATGATTAACATATCATCAACATATAGGCATATTATAACTCCAGAATTGTCATTAAATTTACTATATACACAAGTATCACTATCATTTATGACAAAACCATTAGAGGTTAAAACATTGTCAAATTTTTCATGCAATTGCTTTGGTGCTTGTTTTAAACCATATATGGATTTTACTAATTTGCATACCTTATGTTTTTGTCCTAGAGCTTGAAAACCTTCAAATTGGTTCATATAGATTTCTTCTTCAAGATCTCTATTTGAAAATGCAATTTTTACATCCATTTGATGTTAACACCAAATTATGTATAGAAGCTATGGCTAGGAGTACTCTAATAATGGAGATTCCGGTTACTGGTGAGAAAGTATCCAAATTGTCTTCACCTCTTTGTTTGTATCCTTTAGCAACCAACCTTGATTTTAATTTATTGATGGTTCCATTACTCTTAAGCTTTTTCTTGAAGATCCATTTACATCCAATTGGTTTAGCTCCTTTTGGTAGGTGTACTAATTCCCAAGTATAATTTGATAATATAGACTTTAATTCACTATTAGGGTTGTTCACGGGTCGGGTTGGGTCGATTTACTGAGATTTTTTCAACCGACCCGACTTGGTCGGGTTACCTGAAATTGAAACTGAAATCGATCCTGTGTTAAGCAAAACTGACCTGGTCGGTTTGAGTCAGGTTGGGTCGGTTTCGGCTCTAAGTTCAACCATGGTAATAAATTGGTAGATAGAAGACTGAAATTTGATGTAAAAAAGGACACCTAATTCTATTAGAGAAAGAAGACTGAAATTGGTAGGGGGCGGACCAAGTTAGAATAGAAATTATCGAGAAAATAGAAAGTCAAACTGTATTAGAGAAAGAAGACTGAAATTTGTATATTTCAAGAAACCTACTAATCTAAGTAAAAAAGGACACCTAATTCTAATTGTAATTGGTTGCCTATTTGGTGTAAAAGACCATAAAAACTAGGATCCTTTGGTTCTTTTCTTTAAACTTTTCCAAAAAAATTCTTTGTCTAGTTGTCTTACAATACTTGTCATTAATGTCATTCCTAACTAGAAGACTAGAAATTAAGTTAGGTTGTAACTAGGATAGAGACAACTTAGTTAAGTAGGTTGTAAATACTAACTAGGAACTAACTACTAACTACTAAGTCGCTTCGGTTTGGGTCGGCTTCGGTTTTCACATATGAAAACCGAAACCAATCCGAACCATCGGTTTATGATTTTTTACAACCCAAAACCGACCGGTGCTAAAGAAAACCCAGCCGGTTCGGGTTGGTCGGCTATAAGCTATAAGCTGCACTGTTTTAAGACTAGAAACCTATAAGCTGCACTGTTTTGTGCATATCAGATAAAAGTACAATTTACTGTTCTTGGTCCAATTTTCCTCTTTTTAGGTTATGAGATTCCAATTTTTGCTAAGTGTAGGTATATAATGTTCGCTTAGACCCTCAAAGAATATCAAACACTAAATTAACACCACGAGGTTGCATGCGAACAACCTATAGTCAACTTTCCTATTGCGATGAACCCGCAATGCACCACAGGTTCTACAATGAACTTACAGAGTGCATCGCAGAACCGCAATAAACTCGCGGTCACCACACGCCCTCAGCGAGCCAACTCGTAGCCCGAGCCAAAGGAAACCATGGCCAAACCCGCGATAGGGTCCCACACCTGTTCGGACATGCAATAAACTCACGGCCCGTTAAAGAACTACGCCCAAACGACACCTACACGCGTGACTCCAAAGGGACAAACGTGGCAAGGTGCCACGTGTGACTAACAAGATATCGCTCGCCAAGCGATGACGTCACGAGCACCACATCAATTAAAGTAGGGCACACAAGAGGCTTAGCACCCGTGAGTAATGAGGACTCCTGAGTGAAAGGAAAGTCGATCCTCAGGAAGATCCCCACGAGACATGTGGCAAAGCCCTAGTGGTGAGCCCAATGATTGACAAAAAACATAATGTTCCCTTTCTCGATAGGTCACAAGCACCTTTATCTCATACCTTTTAGGATTTCGGGATCTCCCCCATAAATAGAGATCCTCCTCGTATTGAAATTCATTCAGCATCCAGCACTCGAGCACCCTTTGCTTTTGACTCTTTTCCCTAACACCCTTAGCTTGAAAGCCAATCTCCTCAATTTTTGGTCTTTCTCTGTCTTTCAAAGAGACCATCTCCCAACCAAGCCTTACCCTACCTATACTAGGCACCCCCACACTTTCAAGAATTTCATATTTGGTTTATAACCCTTCCAAAGTTCGAAATGTGTACTTCCTGTTTTCTTACACATTACAAGTAGTAATTATGGCTTTCCCTACATATTTTGTGGCAAACCAGAACTCATTAGTAGATAATTCATCATTTCTTTTAAAGTTCTTTTTTTTTTTTTGCAACTCTATTTGACTTAGGAGAGTAGGGAGCGGTTGTCTCATGTATTATTCTTGTATTTTCACAAAATTTCTAGAAGGATAAAGAATCATATTCTCCTCCTTGATCAGTTCTGAGTCTTTTAATTTTCTTTTCTAATTGTAGTTCAACTTCATTTTTGTACTTGTATAACATTTCTTCTGCTTCATCTTTATTTTTAAGAAGATAAATTTTGGTAAATCTGGAAAAATAATCAACAAAAATTATGTAATATGATTTTCCTCCTCTAGACATAGTGCTTTTGATATCTCCTAAGTCACTATGTATTAAGCCAAGTAACTCATTTCCCCTTTGTACTAGGTTGTGACTTTTCTTAGTGAATTTTGATTCTATAGATATTTGACATTTGTTAAGATTATTTTCTAAAAAATCAAAAATTAATCCTATTTATTTCATTTTCTTTAAGTAAGGAACACTAACATGTCCTTATCTACCATGCTAAATATCAACGGAATTAACCATATAAACATAAGTAGAATCATTTTCATTCATAATTTCAAATACATTCAGAACAAACAAACCATTACTGCAGTAACTTTTCCTGACAAAACCCCCATTTTTGCTGAGTATAAGCTTATCGAATTCAAATGAGAGTTTTATCCCTACCTTATTGAGTAAGGAGCCTGAAATCAGATTTCTATGGATGTTGGGAACATGAAGAACATTAGAAAGGGATAGAATTTTCCCAAAAGTTAATTTTAAGAGAACATTTTCTTTGTCAATAACGAGAGCATGCCTAAAATCGCCCAAGAACACCTGCTCACCTTCTCTAATGGGAGTATAGGATTGGAAACAACTTCTGTTGCTGCAAATGTCTTGTGGCTTTTGTATCTAAGATCCATTTCTTAGAATTTGCTACCATGTTAACCTCTAAAACAACAACTACAGCAATGACATTTGATTCAACCAAACTGATTGAGTTTTTGTCATTGTTGCCATTGCATTGTGGTGCCCAATGTCCCTGCTTTCTACATTTGTGACAAGCACCTTTCTTCTTGTAGTTGGGATTGAAGTTTTTCTTGAATTTCTTGTTTTGGTCTCCACTTTTTCCTTCAATTCTTTCATGCTTCTTGCATGCTTTATCTTCAATCAGATTAGCCTTCAAGGACATATCACTAAGTGCATCAACTCGTTCCTTTTCCATGTTATTTTCTCCAATTCTGATGTGAACTACCAATTCTTGTAGTGACATTTCCTTCCGCTTTTGTTTTAGATTATTTTTGTAGTGCTTCCAAGATGCAAGGAGCTTCTCAATGAGAGCCCCAGTAATAAATTGTTCTTGGAGCATGTTTCCTTCATTTTGAAGGTCATTTATGATCATATGGTAGTCATGAATTTATGATGGGATAGGTTTCTCCTCAGACATGGCGAAGGACAAGAAATTGCTAATGACATGTTTTTTGTCCCCACCATCCACAATAATATATTAATTATTATTAAGGGCATCCCAAAATTCAACAACAACGGGATACAGTCAATAAACATCAAACAATTGGTTTGTCATAGCATTCAAAAGTGCATACCGACAAATCTTATCAGTGAGAGTCTTGGTTTGAGTTAATGTGAATTTTGTAGGTTCATATAGGTCATTTGGTGGAGAGTCATCAAGTACATAAGAAACATCATAGATGTCTAACAGAGAGTAAACTTTGTGTTGCCAACGTACAAAATGAGTTCTATTGAAAGGTTCAATTTTTGAGACATCAGGAATTATAATTCTAGTAACATCCATTGTAAAATTAGAGCAAACACAAACAATAAAGGAAGAACTAATTCTACTTAAGATATTGTGCGTGAAAGTTGATGCTACCGTGAATGTGTAGAGAATATAAAGATAAATGGAGTTTGAAGACTTATCGGCTTAGACGTGTTTGTAACTCAGTAACCATGCACTCAGAATACTAAGTGGGTAACCCACACCCACACCCCGACTCAGCCCGGCTTGACGCATGCATATGAAATAGAATCCCCAACCACCCCAAGCCATGAAACCATATGTATATGTACCCCATTTGGGTTCCCATAAGGGAAAGGTCATATCTCCTAGTAATAAGCTTAATACTTCCTTTAATTTTCAGACGTAGGATTCAAGCAAATTAGGAGATTAAAAATTAGGCTCAAGAGCCGAGTGAAACAAAATTTTGAAATTTTTGGTAAAGGTCAAAGCTTATGTGAGCATGTGACATGTGTGAGTATGTACAAATAAATAGGAAAGACAAAAAGTTAAAATGATAAAACAAACCCTACTAAACTTTTGAATCACACTCCAAACAAATTAAAACAGTAACAACCCTCCCCTCCCCGAACGTGATGAGAAGGAAAAAAAGGAACAAAATCCATTTAAATCCTATCCTGTAGCTTGTCGGCCTTGACTGTTGCATTTGCCTGAGCTATGGCAAGTCTTCCTGCGGTCTTGAAATCGAAGCTGCAATCGTGCTTTTCTGGGTAGCGGTGCAGCGAGCAGAATGTTCTCCCACACCTGCAGGTGAATCCCAGTAACCCCACACGCTTGCTGCAGTTTGAGCAACGGTTCGCCGGTGTTTTCCAGCCACCGACCAACGATGCAGAAGAAGATGTCGTTGAAGGTGATGCCGACGGCGAAGATGAAGAGACGATTGGGTGGTCACGTTCTCTAATCTCCACCGTGGCCCTCGGAATAGATTGATCCTTACAGAGATGGTCTCTGTAACACTTAGAACAGAGGTTCTGATTTGCCGGTGTCCCGAAAAACCCACATCCATTAGCGCACAATCGTGGCTGCTCGGGAGCTTCAGACCTCTCAGAAGCCATGTCTTCGCTCTTGCTATCTCCGGGAGATGCTGGTTTGGTGCAACTGAGTACGTTGAGTCGTCTTGCCTCAGATTGTTGTCTGTGTAGTTCTCAAATCTTCTATATTTAAAAGGAGAAGAAAGAAATGCAATTCCTATACCCAGTCGGATCGGTACGAAAAATAGAAACCTCTGTTCTAATTAGTGAATATCAAAGAAAGCATCTCCTAATTAAGATTCAATTCCTAAAGATCATAGTTCAGAAGCTTAACGGAAATATGACTGCAGTTTGTTTTCCCAAAAATGAAAAAAGAAAATCTTTTCGGACTCTATCAATCTTTGTTCAAGTTCAAGCCTGATTTACCCAATCAAGCTTTGTCCAAACTAAAATTTGACACAGTTGATTTGGGCCTTGAGTTAGTTACTTGGGTTTGGGGGGCAAACGGTTCGAACATGACCCGATCCAAAAAGATCCTATCCTGATTCCAATCAAATTCAAATAAGGATTCGAATTTTAATTTAAATCATATGAATTATTTATCGGATCTGATTCGGAAATACTCCAATTTGAATCCTGTCCGATCCATTTGCATCCTAGTTCAGGCAAGCCTATCAAACTAAAACATATCTAAATAAATGATAATTACCTTCATTTTTTTGGAAGCCTTGGAAATGTCAAGTGAGAAATGGGTGTGTCTTAACTCTTAAGTATATGCTAACTCTCTGAAATAGGGTATAATTGAGTCGAGTCAATTTGAGTATTCAAAAAATACAAAGCTCGAAACTTGATTCAAGCTCGATCAAGTTTCATGTATTCGGATCGAACTCGACTCGAGTTGATACTCATAAGCTACTTGAGCTTGACTCAACGAAGTTCTAGGTTAGAATCTTAGAGTTACCAGTAGAATGCATGACACGAATAATTGGGGAGAATTTAGGGAAACAAACAAGGGAAGTCTATTAGACTATTATGCCCTTAGGTCTAATTAGACCTATTCATGGGTTGGGCCGGGCCGGGCTAGGCTTTCACTCTGTATTAATAGATTTTTCTAATGCCCAAGCCCAAGTCCAGCTCGACCATCAGGCCTACAACTTGGGTCCGATCCCTGCCCTCATAAAAAGCCCGAAGCCCTGGCCTGGGCCCAAGCCCGAAATTTAGCCCATGTTGTTACTACTGCTGAAGTGGCTGAATAGAGTGAGAGAGAAATTATAAAGAAAAGAATAAAAAAATGTATATATTAAATTATAAATATATATATATATATTTCAATAAATGTTATATTATTTATATATTTTATATAATATATAAAATACATATTATGTATTTTATAAAATATCTAATGCTGAGTCGGGCCGGGCTTTTTTGACAAATCCCGAGCCCGACCCGTAACACAGTTGGGCTTACTATGTTAGGCCCGAGGTCAAGCCCACGGGCCTAATTACATGACCAAGCCCGATCGGGGTGCGGGCCGGGCCGGGTCGGGCCATCGGGCTACCCGACCCATGAACAGGTTTAGGTCTAATCAAATTGATGTACATAAACAATTATCAATAAATGACTAAAGTAAATTATTGTTTCATATTCTTATTAGTGTATTTTTTTTGTGAAATATTATTTAAGATAGACATTTATGAGACTCGTGTTAGTTTAGAATGTTATTAGCCATTGGATAGACCTAGAGAATTTATCCTGACAAGGCTGACATTAGTGTGTTGCCAAACTAGTGGAGCAACTTGTCTCAACTGCTAGGGTTGGACTCTAAGCACAGCTTGTGAGTGTTTAGAAGAAATACCGAACTCAAATCAATTTTTAGTAATGTCCTAGACTTTGGAAATAGATAGGCAAAACTGGAAAGTTGTACTTAATTCCAGACTTGATTATGATACTGCAATAGGTATTGGACTGAGTTGTCTTTAATGTGCCAACCAGTGAAATCCATCAAGGGTGAAATACCTGGGCATGTTGGGGCAGTTTGGGAAATTACTTAAGTGAGTGATCATAGTGATAAGGCCGACCCCTTTATCAAACAAAGTGAATATTAGGCTTTACACTCTCTTTGATGGAAACCTAAACTGCTAGCAGTAGATTTCAACTATATTTGAAATTTGATTTGCAGAATATATTTAAATGTTATATTACTATTTTATGAAAAATGTTTGCAAAAGGTTTTAATCATAAAATCCATCCGAGCAGAGAGTGTGGTGTTGCATTTTGCAGTTAAGGAAGAGGTCATTCCCTATGGGTAGTGTTCTGATGATTATGGGCCAAGATGTTAGGTGTAAGAGACCATTACAGGGTTGATTGCCTAATGGGCTTCATCTAACATAAGTCCATTATCCTTGAGTCTTCATAGGGTGACTGAATCTAATGATAATTTAGGTGTAAATGTTGGGTCCAAATTGAGCCCAAGCTGATTGGGTCAGGGGTTTATTGCCCTAAGTAGTGAATCCGGCTTAACCTCTTTCAGAGGTAGGGTCGAACCCTCATAGACTTGCGTAGGCCTTTGTGGGTCTCATGCCATACAATATTCAAGCCCAAAGTGGCCATGCAACACCTTGGAACATGAAACACTAGTAAAAATGGGCCTAAGGCCCATTACTAATATGATTAGTTAGGTGATCACATGACTGGGGTTGAAAATGGGCATGAATCTGGATATGGAGCACTTATTTTCTTAAGAAAATAATACTTATCAACTAAAGATAAAGTCCTAATCCAAATTTGATTTGGATCATCCCCTAATTAGAATAGGAGAATGCTTTATATAAGGGACTAAGAGGGGAGGGGTGAACCAACCATTTTCTCCACTCTCTTACTCTCTTCTCTTCTCTCTTTCTCCCAAAAACCCTAGTTTGACCTAGCTTTGATAAGGGCAGATTTTTATTAGTTGTCCACTCTGTTAAATATCAAGGCATATCAGGTTCACAAACCCACTTCGATCCAAGCAAGTTAGAGACTAGTTTTGCTGAAATGGTGTTGCTGAATGAATCGGCTTCACATACACATTGCACCATCCTTAGTTGAAGGGCGATTTTAAGATTGATATTGGGTGTGAACTACCACTTTGGGAGTTGTGCATTGTGGTCTCCATATTAGGTATGGTCATTTTTAATTTGGGTTTCAAATCTGATTTGGTTTAGCCCAAGATTGATCCCAAAATTTCAAATTTCAAAATCACTAGAAAATCAGCTCCCGAGTTGAGTTAGAAATTTTTTGAAAATGCAGCCAGCCACCAAACCTGGTTCAGCCATGTCAAACCTGATTTCTAATCCTTCCAACAAAGTCATCTTGACAAAAGATTTCTGTGTGGTAAATACAAAAAATGATTTACAAGCGGGACTTTCCTCAGGGTTTGTGTGGAAATTGATGTGTTTCAAACCACTTGTATGTTCGGTGCACAGAAACCTACCAAATGGTAAAGTTAAATGGTATCATGTCCAATATGAACAGCTACCAATTTTCTGTTTTAGATGTGGAAGAATCGGATATCTACAAACCAACTATGAAAAATTATGGGGAATAAGATGTCTTAAACATGTTTAAGAACCATAAATTTTGTTTAGGAGTGACATGCATCCAAAGGCTATAGCCCTCAGCTGAAATAAAAAATGAGTAACGAAGATCAAAAGTTCATCATTGGTGATGAACAAGTAGCAATTCAACAACATTTAGAGAGGTGTGGGTCAAGAGTGTTGAAGGTGCTTTGACTAGAGACCACCCGAAAAACCTTAGTCTTGGATCATCGTCCAAACAGGGAGCGAAAGACTTGGATCAAGGAAGGACAAATATTATTCATGTTGGTGAAGGGACATCCAATGTTCGAAGACAACTATTTCTTGACGAGATTAATCAGCCGACAAGCCCAACTAGATCAGGTTTTCCGATGGGAGAAATCTTGTAATTTTCTCTCTAGCCAAATGAACTGGTAGAAGGACTGGTAGGTGAAGGAAAAAAGGTAGAAGTGGCAACTTGGTGGGCAGGAAACTTCAAATCAGAGAAACCATTAAGAGTCGGGATCTCCTTCCCACACAAACTCTACCCACATTTATCGCAGCCACACATGTAGAACATCTCATCCTCCGCCTAGTATTATGCAGGGGAAGATATTCCCAATTCACGGGGGGTAGTGTGTTGTGGGTAAAGTTCTCATGGGCAGAAGAACATGAGAATGTGGACCCAAAACCAAAAAAATGGATCGAATGTTTTGAGACTCTTGAAAACTGGGCCCAAAACCAAAAAAATGGACCGAATGTGGACCCAAGTCATATTCTGTGGAAAAAAAAATCCGAGAAGAACATGAGAGTTCGAATGAATAAGAAAGTGAGGAGAGTGGAAAACTACAGGAGAAAAGTAAACATTGAACCAACAGATGTTGATTTTGTGTTGACTCACAGAGGCTTAATCAGGAAGGAAACACTCTAAGGGTTGAAGAATCTATAGTTCCCGTCATGCAAGGGAAGTTGATCTAGTTGGAGTTGGGCCAGATTATGGACATGCATACATGAAGAAACAAGCTTGCTATTTTCAGTGACAAAGTGCAGGAGGGAGATATGGATGTTAGTGAATGTAAATTTAGCAATTTGTGTTTCTCAACATCTAACTACTTGCCTCACAAGATGTTTGTATTATTTTGTTGATCTAATATTAGAAAATGTGTTTTGAAGAAGTGCTAAATATTTGAGGGGATAAAAGGGGTTACAAAAAGGAAAAGAAAATGTCTGATTTTTTTTTTAATTTGTTAAAAATATAAGGAAAATCTGGAAAAGAAGAAAGCAAAAAGAAAATCTCAAAATGAGGGGAATGGAATTGCATCTCATTTCAAGAATTGGTGGTAGGGGTGAGCCTAATAGGAAAAAAAAAGGCTAAAGAACGGAATATTTCTATTATGTATGGTGAGCCTAATAGGAAAAAAAAGGGACTTTCTACAATTATGGCACTCTGTAGCCAGTTGGATAAGAAGTAGGGGTGGCCACGAGCCAAGCTCTTCATGAGCTATTCAAGTTTGGTTCGACTCGGTTCAGTTCCAATTGAGTTTCGAGTCGAGTTCGAGCCCAATTTACAGGCTCGATTAATAAATGGGCTGAGCTCAAGCCTAATAAAGCTCGACTTGAGGCTCGCGAGCTGAGCTCGAATATATAAATATATATATATTATAAAATTATAGAAAATAATATATATAATAATAAAATATTAAAATTCTTAATTTTTTAAAATATCAAATATAAAATATTTTTTATATATAATTTTTTATTTTTATAAAACATTTTTTCTCAAGTCGAGCTCA